AGTAGTGAAAATGAAATACGATACGATCTGCGGCAGTAATTTTTCTTCTGAACGTTGCTTGTAGTTTAGAATGCATTAATTATTATTGCCCCTTCATACAAACTGTCCTCATACATTTTGAGTTAAAAATGAAGTCTCTTTCCGCGTTACCACTGACAGAAATTGGTCCTTGCTCTCGGTAAACATTTACATTATAAGGTCATCATTCAAATTGTTCATAAGTTTTTACCTTTGTCAGACGTCAGCTCCACATCCGCACAACTGAAGAATGTGTACCCTGGTGGCTTGTAAACGGCCTGAAGAAATAATGTGAATAGATGGATAGATAGATAGATACATAGATAGATAGACAGATAGATAGATAGATAGAAAGATGGATAGATAGAAAGATAGATAGATAGATAGATAGATAGATAGATAGATAGATAGATAGATAGATAGAAAGATGGATAGATAGAAAGATGGATGGATAGATAGATAGATAGATAGATGGATAGACAGATAGATAGATAGATAGATAGATAGATAGATAGATAGATAGATAGATAGATAGATAGATAGATAGATAGATAGATAGATAGATAGATAGATAGATAGATAGATAGATAGATAGAGAGAGAGAGAGATGGAGAGAGAGAGAGAGAGAGAGAGAGAGAGAGAGAGAGAGAGAGAGAGAGAGAGATATTAAATGTTACGTATACAATTATTGTATCATGAAAGGTTCATGCAAGTTACTTCAAAACAGGTCGCTACCTCAGAATTACAAAGTTCTATCTGCTAAATGTAAGATCTATAAACCTAGTTAGGAAAAATCGGACGTCAGAGATTTTGAGTTTCACATCATGCCAAGCTTTTTCGAATGCAATTCTTTCAATGTCTTAATAACAACTCCAAATAAACTTACGATTTTGATAGAGGAAAAAGAGTTTAATTTGGTGTATGACCTTATTGTCTTTTTTACTCAAAACAGCCAAAGATGTGAGATTTAACTTTGTAATTCTTACGTAGCGAGGTGGCAAACTGTCCTGCAAGAATAAAATAAAGGTACGCAAGCTAACGTTTTATTTCTATTTCCTGAACTCCAGACTTTTTGTCGCCTTAAACTGACCATTTGACCTTCCCACTAATTCATTCATTCACTGACTAATTGGCGGATTCATGAATGACTCATTAAATAACACACGGGCTCATTGACTAACTGACAAAATATATCTCTGGCTCATTAACTTAAAGAATGACTAAACTATTTGGTAACTTACGGACCGACGGATTGACTAACTGACTGACTGACTGACTGACTGGCTGACTGACTGACTGACTGACTGACTGACTGACTCACTGACTGACTCACTGACTGACTGACTCACTCACTCACTCACTCACTCACTCACTCACTCACTCACTCACTCACTCACTCACCTTCCCAACAACTCACTCACTCCACCCTCAACCTTCCCTCCCTCTATTCAACTTACGGATGAAACTTTCTTCAACTTTTACATCCATAAATCAACAAGTCAAGTAAACTTTCAGGCGTGTCCAGTACCCTTGTGTTTGTGATCTTGTCTGAACATGCAATTCCGAATGCCAGATTCCATAACTTGTCCCTTTTCTCTTACTTAGTAGGCACTACATTCTAGCCATATAATTTATTCACACCATAGCCCAGCATGATACCAACTGGGCTAACGGCACGCACGCTCATACATTTCCTGTCTAGTGGTCAGATAGTACTTTCAATAATAATAATAATAATAGATAATAAATAATAATAAAGATGGTAATTTCAAGATAAGGATGTGCAATCTAACACTCTGTGCTCATTGCCAACTGGATTCATCAGAATGAGCCAGGGCTAACCAGATTATCCTTCATAATATTATGGTCGCTTTTAAGGACAAGCGGGCTAGCCCAGATTTCGGGGGCTTCTAGAAATCTTGACCTACACCAAAAGTGGGCATTGCCCTTCCTATAGAGAAAGTTTGGTTTCATTGGTGTGAATATAAGTTTTGTTTGGTTATAAAGAAAACTTTCCTTGTATTTTAAAGAAACTGAACAAGGCGCAAAAACTTTATCTTCGATTTTCTTCAAACGGCATTTTTCGGGATAGCCCCCTTGTGCCTAAAAGCGGCCATATGCGGTTGCTTTTAAGGACAAGCGGGCTAACCCAGACTTCGGGGGTTTCCAGAAATCTTTTAACATTACCAAAAGTGGGCATTGCTCTACCTATAGGAGAAGTTTGGTTTCGTTGGTATGTATTTTTGTTTGTTTGAAGAGAAAACCCTCCTTGCCTTTTAAAGAAACTGAACAAGGTGCAAAAACTTTACCTTCGATTTTCTCAAACAGCATTTTTCGGGATTGTCCCCTTATGTTTAAAAGCAACCATGTGTAACAACAGCTACCGAATTCAACTACTTTTGATTTTGACCTTAAAAGTCAAGCGCATTTAAATGGTTTTTCAAGGTTTTCAGTCAAATCTGTCGTATTCTGGCAAAATGGTAGCTTTTGCATCAACTTAAAGGATCATCTAGCAGGCCCCAACTCAGCCTGATGAATCCAATAATTGGCAGTGTGCACTGGGTAAAACTTTAAGCTCATGCCATCTGGTTAGGCCTAGCGCTGCCAGAAGGCGATTTTTTGTGTGTGAGTTTAGTTAGTTTAGTAAGAGTGTTACGGCAATCCCAACTTCATAAGGTTGTAATGAGCGCGTTTGAGCGCAGTTTGTTAATACTTCATTACTTGTATTAATTTATTTTCTTATTTGCAAGACTTTAATTACTGATTCGACCTCAGCATAATTTCCAACCCCCCCCCCCCTAAAAAAAATAGATAAAAAATAAATAAATGTTTCACTCACCTGTAGCAGATATTTTCCGTTCCTGAAACAAACAGGTAGACAAAAGCGCCAATTTAAGGACTGTTGCTCGGTAACTGATGGGACATTTGAACTATACCTACTCACAATAATTTACTGTAATTCAATATCAATTAAGTTATTTTAACTATAACCTGTCTCTCCATCACTCTTACTTCTTTTCTCTCGCTCTCTGTCTCTGCCCCCCTCCCGCCCCCTTTCTCTCTCTCTCTCTCTCTCTCTCTCTCTCTCTCTCTCTCTCTCTCTCTCTCTCTCTCTCTCTCTCTGTATGTATGTATGTATTTATGTATGTATGTATGTATGTATGTATGCATGTAGGTATGTATGTATGTATGTATGTAGGCATGTAGGTATGCAGGCATGCATGTATGTATGTATGTATGTATGTATGTATGTATGTATGTATGTATGTATGTATGTATGTATGTATGTATGTATGTATGTATGTATGTATGTATGTATGTATGTATGTATGTATGTATGTATGTATGTATGTATGTATGTATGTATGTATGTATGTATCTATCTATCTATCTATCTATCTATCTATCTATCTATCTATCTATCTATCTATCTATTTATCTATTTATCGATATCTACTTCTCTTTCCCGACTAAACAAGTAATCGCCAAAAGAGTAAAAACCATAAAAATAAGAGACAAAAAGAAAACAACAACAAACAAACATAAAAAAATAACCCAAAGAAAAACAACCGAACAATTAAAACAAAATAAAATGATATAAAAATGATTAGTAATAATATTTCTTACTCTGATGGTAAGGTGACATTGATCTGCTGGTAAGTTTCAGGTCCTCCCATCTGCTCGGAGATTTTGTTATAGTTATTTGTTCCCGTTTTTGCCATGAAGATCTCTATTTTTGTCTGTGGGAGAAAACATAGACAATTTGGAATTTGTTCTGTATAGGATAAGAAAAATGTTTTGCGTTTGCAATGAGTGTAGTCTCCCTCATTTCACTCTTTTGTACACTCACACACACACACACACACACACACACACACACGCACACACACACGCACACACACACACAAACACACACACGCGCGCACACACACACACACACACACACACACATACACACACGCTTACGCACAGAGACAGACAGACAGACAGACAGACAGACAGACAGACAGACAGACAGAGACAGACAGACAGACAGACAGACAGACAGACAGACAGACAGACAGACAGACAGAGACAGACAGACAGACAGAGACAGACAGACAGACAGACAGACAGACAGACAGAGACAGACAGACAGACAGAGACAGACAGACAGACAGACAGACAGACAGACAGACAGACAGACAGACAGAGAAAGATAGAGACAGGCAGAGAGCGACAGAGACAGAGACAGAGAGGGAGAGGGACAGGAGGAGAGAGAGAGAGAGACAGACAGACAGACAGACAGACAGACAGACAGAGACAGAGGAAGAGAAAGAGAGAGAGATAGAGAGAAGGAGGGATCAGGGGTGGGAAGGGGGAACGAGTATTGTTTTTAGCTGTTGACGTAAAAATAACAGTTCTGGTGACAGTGACAATTGAAAAAATCATGGCCGACAACTGTCTTCTTCACCCCCCCCCCCCAATCCTCTCATCCTCCCACCTCCTCCAAAATGAGTGGAATTGATTTTCGCTAAGTTATTTTTTGTAAATGTAATGTAATGAATGTCTTACTCTACCATCGAAAGAGTTTAGATCGTTTGCGAAACGGGCTACTTCAACTGTTCTGTCTGAGTTGTGGGGGAAATCATGTCCCAGCTGGAAGATGAGCTATTTAAGAAAACATCTTCATGGAATTTGAACCTATATCTCTCCCGTGCATGGCAAATAAAGGGTGATTTTAAAAAAATAAACCTTTTCCGTAGGCGATATCTTAATACGGAGACGCAATAGAAAACTTGAAGTAAGTCGCAAGTATTGTACTCGCTGGTGTTTCTAGAGGGTCGGAGAGAGACAGCAACCTGCGCGGAAAAGCCAGAAGAATATCCAACCAGCTGTTAACTGATACGATCAGCAGGCAGATCCTTTCATGGATCCTGGAGAGGAGGGAGGAGCAGCTATGGCATTGTGCCGCCTGCAATGATGCCTATTCTCCAACCAAGTAAGTAAGTTGTACTCGCAATCAAATTTTTATTTTCTGTTTTATAAGTGTTCAATGTGGCTACCACCAGCATCAAGTGCAGCATCAATGGGAAAAGAGAATTCATCCCAGACGCATTTCAGCATAATATTCACAGTCCACTGAGTTGATCACGGTTTGCTATTCGATGTTTAAAGTGGGTAGCGGTAGAACATAAACGTCATCTTTCGCATGATGTTCCCACACAAAAAAAATCCAACACACACTGTGAGGTCTGGGGATCAGGCACGCTAAGGAGCATAGAGAGCTATGTCTTGGGTCCCTTCCTGACCAGTCCATTGCTGGGGCACTTTTTCGATTAAAAAACCTATACCAATAGACGCCACTGGGGCGGTCCCTCATCTTGTTGAAAAATGAAATCATGCAAATCTGCTTGTAGTGATGTAAAGAGCGATTTTTGAAGCATATCAAGATAGGTGCGTCCTGTAGCGGCTTTTCTTCAAACGCCACAACAGCACTCCATATGACAGCTATTCAAAAATTAGATAACCCCCTCTTCGAAATGGTCGCTGACTCATTCCACAACGATGCCTGAGAACTGAAGCAATGCACCATAAAATCGGTTCATTCTTTTTTAAAATTAAAAACTTAAATAACTCCTCTTTCAAAAGGTCACAGACTCATTCCAAACCCTACTTGAGAACTGAAGAAGTGCGTCAGAAAATGATTGGTTCATTTTTTTAAAATCACTCTGTATTGTCTCCATGAAAAAAAAAATGATTGTAGACCGCACTTCGAAGGCTAAAACAGCACCTGGACCTGGTGCCTCTATAAATAAATCATTGATGGTCAGGACCGCACTTCGCGCTCACCTTTGAGGACTTTTGGTAGTGTGTGATTGGAAGATACAAGTCCACACTGAACTCACTCCCGGACCTGGGAAACGGAAGGACATTAAGAGCAGATCAGGTTAGAACGCTGGACGACTAGTGCTGGAGTGCTTTAGGTTTGTTCCACTTCTTCCAATATATTATATGCTCTATAGCATTCGTAATTTGTGCAGACGAAATGCGAACCTTATACCTAAAAGACATTGTATACAGTTTCTTCAAATCTCCAAGTCATGATACATTTTGCTACATTTCAGGACGGTCAAATATTACTTCATGAAAGGGGAAATAGCTGCCATTTTAGACAGCTTGTTTTGATCCACCCTCTAAAATTTAACACACCGCTTTCGTTCGTGTACCTTCAGCCCAGTATTCGAACTCTTACAGTGTTTGGTCATTATTGCTTACACACGTTTTCCAGTGTTACGAACACATTCCCTGTCATGTTAATATATATTATACACCTTTGTCTGTGTGGCTTACACGGGTTTGTCCTTATGACTTACACACGTTTTGGCGTATTACTTAAACGAATCTGGCAATATTTCTTACGTAAATTTCATTACATCGCTTATTCAAGTTTGCATAATGATATTCTATTATTTACACAAGTTAGGCTTAATTACCTAAACACGTTTGGCACTATTACTTTCACAAGTTTGGTCTTATACTTACACTAGTTTCGCCATATTAGAATCAGGAACTTGTGGGAACATTCTCCCGCATGGGGGCTCTTGCTGGTAACAGGATACGTACAGTGTGTCCGGGTCTGAAGGCAAAAGTAAGAGAACGAGGATGATGTATACAAATAATTATTGTTCTCGGGTGAGAGTCAGACGGAAGAACGTGAAAATCTATGTTAAAAAATGTAAAACACCACATTCACTTGATTACTTGGTTACTTGATCCTGGGAACAACATCATAGCACTCCGGGCATTGCCATACGTGCTCCACTCCCCGCTCCAATATCCACCTCAGAATCCACCTACTGATCGTTCCGGAGTTCATTAATTTGGTTAATAGCCCGTCTTTCCATCCTCTGGACCATGCTGGTTCTGCCACTTCCTCTGTAGACACCCAGTTCTTCAAGTTGTAAGATTTAATGAGTCATGAACACTACTGGTTGCTCAATCGCCTCATCTTCAAATGTGATTGGCAAGGGCCTTCACGATTATTTGTCCATTTTAATGTCAGTATTGATGCAGTTCACGGGCTTCTGTAGTGTAGAATCTTTATTTCATCTCTGAGAGAGAAATTTGTTCTGGTCGTTTACAATGGCTGTAGTGTTATGAAGTCCATCTGCTGCAGTCACTCGTAAACAGGGAGATTCTCATGGCCTAGAGGTTAAAGTGTGCGCCTTTCATCTGCATTGCGTAGATGGGGGGTGTAAAACCACCCTATTTTTAAAAAAGAAAATGACCCGTCTCGCCTCTGGTTTCTAGTTTCCATTCTACGCAGCTAAATCGCAGAGTTGAGAAACTCGGACGCTATACGAATTAGACGAATATAATCATATTATTATGTAGAAATACGATATTTTTCTTTTTGCAATATCCGCGTGATGATGTGCAGCATGATGTGCACATTGAATTATAATACTTTTTACCTCGCCTTCTTTGAGAATTTAAAATAATTTCCGTGCCTTCCCTTTTTTCAAGAAGAAGAAGAAGAAGAAGAAGAAGAAAAAGAAGAAGAAGAAGAAGAAGAAGAAGAAGAAGAAGAAGAAGAAGAAGAAGAAGAAGAAGAAGAAGAAGAAGAAGAAGAAGAAGAAGAAAAAGAAGAAGAAGAAGAAGAAGAAGAAGAAGAAGAAGAAGAAGAAGAAGAAGAAGAAGAAGAAGAAGAAGGATTGTTAGCCAAATTGAGAGCCCAAAGCGGCTATATTGTGCCACAAGCCGATCGCGCCAGACTCGTCGGCTAAAAAACCCCCACATCATTTGTTTTCAGGCGACGAGTCGGTCGATCGACCCGTCCTGACCCGACCCGATCCCATCCGCAATGGACAACCCGTATTACTATTACTATTAGGCGCTTGGCTGTCGCAAACAGGAGGCGAGAGTTCGATTCCCAAGTGGTCAGAAGTATCCTCAAGTATTTCGATTTTTCTGCTGGGATGTTGTATCCCTCTCAGCCTAGTTTGGTTGGCCCTGACAGGCAGGGTCTGAAGCCTTGCTCCTGTAAGATCAGAACTGTGTTGATGGGGGCATAAAAACACGAACATAAATTACAGTAAACACTTTTAGTTAAGTCTTGACGATTTCGCTGACGCAAGGTTTTCTTTATCCATATCGTAACAGAACCAGTGGTGTTCATGACTCATTCAAAATATGGTTTGCCTGTCCCCGTGGTTTTATGCACCCAGCATAATCTCACAAAATTCTTTTCATTTTTGCTATTTTTCTGATTGTTTGCCTTTATCGTTCTTTGTTAGAATTAATAGAATCGAATAATTTTAAATTTTTTGGGCTCAGTTTGCATAATTTCATTTTTTTTTTGGGGGGGGGGGGGGGATAAAACCGCAGGGACAGGTTTACGATCCAAACAGCCATATACAGTAGGTTCATCCGGGATTATGATGTGGGCGATAAAGGAATTTTTCTTCCTTTTAAAAAAAAAGGGATTTTGGGGGACGGGGGTGAGGTTGTGTGTGCAGTTCAAGGCTTTGCGGCTACCTGACTTGATCTAGTAGGAGATCAAATTTAAATTCACAAACCCCTACACTTAAAATAATGTAGGTGGGATGAACGGTTAATCAAACTTAACGTCAAACCAGTAATAAGTCACAACTTTAGTTTTTCTTTTTTAAATAGATGTTTTTACGCCTCCCTTCGACACAGTTTGAATTATTTAGGGTGCACGTTCCCTCATTGCTAACCCAGGCTGAGATGGATACAATATCCCAAGAGAAAGACCAAGTTTCTCATTAAAACATCTTCGTACTCTTTAATCGAACTCGGGTTTGTTACAAACAACGGCGAAGCACCTGATTGATTTACCACAGACACCAGTTTAAGTATTTCTACAAGTAAAGAACATGAGCATTATTTTTAAACGCAAACTTGGCAGAATATACATTTCGGACTCACAGATAAAGAAGTAGAAGACAGGTGACTTCATAGGATCAGTAGAAAATAGCACCAATATTTTATCTAATGTTAACTTATTTCATAATATGCAAAAGAGTTTACTTCAATACTTTTACTTAATTAGTCGGAGTCGACCATACTTATCAAAAGCCGTAACATTATTATGATAGAGATTGGGCTAGGACAGACAAAAAAAGCAAACCAAAAAGCCTCCAGGAAAACAGAAATAAAAATTATTTTAGAATATATGTATAAAATACTCACTCCGTAATCTCTGTGGGGGGTTCAGAATACACAGATGAGCGTGGACATGTGAGACAGTCAAGGCCAACAACGCCAAGACCGCCATTTCCGATACCATGGTGATGAGGAGCAGAGCTGAGGGAACTAACTTTGGATGAAAAAAGCGACGTAATTTAAACTTTGTCTAAACATGACAATAATGACAATAGTAATACAGATGATAATACTAAAAATGAAGATACATACAAAATCATTGATGACAAAAGATCTAATAATAATAATAATGATAGTTGCAGCACCAGCAGTAAAAACAACAACGACGACGATGACAACAGCAACAATGACGTAAAAAATCAATAACCATCAGAACTACACCCATTACCACCACCAGCAGCAACATATTAAACTGCAATGAAAGCTACATTCAAAGAGCTTACACAAAAGCAACAACAACAGTACTTTAGCAGTACCAGCGGCAGAAGCAGTAAAAATTAAAAATTTAAAAAACAAAACACAAAAAGCAGCAGAAACAACAAAAGCACTTGAGCTTATAGCGATAACGAAAAACCAAGTATATTTCCAAATGAAGATTAGTTCAAATCAAACAACTTAGCCACACAAGAACAAAAAAATCACCAAGATCCACTGCATCAACTACAACACACGAACAAGGATCTGAACGGTCACACCTCAGTAAAACCTGAAAACGAAAAGTTGTCGCCTTGTGCAAGTCAAGTCCTGTCCCTTCCCAACCTCTCTCTCTCTCTCTCTCTCTCTCTCTCTCTCTCTCTCTCTCTCTCTCTCT